AAATCATGTTTTTACATACTATGTCAAGTTAAACTTGTCTGTGCATTCAGTTGAAGTCAGAATAATTAGCCCCAGTTTATTTTTTCCCCCAATTTGTTTGACAGAGAGATTTTTTTAAACACATTTCTAGCTCAAAGGGGCTAGACATTTTGACCTTAAAATGTTTTTAAAAAATTAAAAACTGCTTTTAATCTAGCCGAAATAAAATAAATAAGACTTTATCCAGAAGAAAAAATATTATCAAACATACTGTGAAAATGTCCTTGCTCTGTTAAACATCATTTAAGAAATATTTTAAAAAGACAAAAATTTAAAGCGGGGCTAATACTTCTGACTTCAGCTGTACATGTTATTGTGCTTTTATTTGAACTCATGCACAGCTTATAAAATGTGTTACGGCATCAAAATCCAGCAGGAATTCATTGGTCCCGTGCACGTTTGATTATCTGCTGTACAGAGATTAATTTTCTGATTCCTGTACTAACTGGTTTTATAGCAACATTGCAAATAGGACAAAATAAGAACAGGTGTGCTTAAGCATTCTGCCCTAATTGTGGTTAAATCTAGTGATGTAATGTCATGTCATTATTGGTTTGCACCAGGGTTAGGAGTGCAGTGTGCACACTTATCAACATGCACCACATTAACAGAGTAATCTTACCAGAATTCTAATTTTAATCGAAGCACACTTGCCAAGCGTGAACACGGTGAGCACTTTTTTTGCAACCTTGACAAATGGCATTTATTACACACTTATTGACACACAAGTCATTTAAAAGCCAATTATTTGACCTCAGTCTAATCAAAGCAATTTGTCACTAATTTTTACACTTTGATTTACCTCTCTTAAACCAACACAATGGCTGAGCTTGCGATACAAATTAGTTTGCAATGACTCGGCTGACTGACTCGGGCAGCGTGTTTTATGTATAGCCCTCAAGGGCAGCGCTCCACATGCACAGAAAACGCCGTCGCTTTGGGTTCTGTTGCTCGTGGTCAGCGAAGCCGCCGGTGCTTTTGCGAGTCATTGATTAATTGCGGTCATTAGTCAGCGAGAGAATGGCCTCACCTGGAGTTAGAGGTGGAAATCAACGGGAGATTAAAATTAATCACTCTGAAACGCGACAGCACCGCCGGCAGCCTGCGGAGCACAGGATGCAGAAGAGGGAATCAAAGGAAAAGAATTTTAAAAAGCAGAATGATAGTGGTTTCGTTTTTTATTTAAAAATACATCACAAAAAAGCACACAAAAATAAAAGGAGGTTTTTACATGATGTGCAAACCAAAGAGGAAGAAAAAGTAAATGTCATATTAGTACACAGCTTCTTTCAAAAGAAAACATCTACAGTTAATTTCATTGGTTGTCTCTTATTAGTAAGGAGAGTTCGCTATCTCTTTAAATGGCACTGTACAAAGAACCAGACAAACCTCTAGGGTTACGAAATACCAAACGGGCCCCATCCCAAAAAAAAAAAAAAAGTATCATTTGATTCAAGGAAGTTGATTTGTGCAGCTTGCAGTAAAGATAATGCTGACCAAAGTGTAGCTTTCTCAGTTTACACTGGCATTAGTCTTTATGTTTAAACAAGCTGAACTGATCCTGTAACAGCAGCCCTATATTCATAGAGGCTTGACAAATAAAAGCCCAAGGAAACCATGAGTGTGTGTGTGTGTGTGTGCGCTTTTGTGTAATAACAACATATGCATAATAAATGTTAATACCTTCTCCAGATGGCGGATGATTAGCCTGATCATCCTCTAGTCCTTCATCACATTCGCAGCCTTGGAGAGCCACCCAAGTGCAACAGGCTACAGCCATAAAGACAAACGCAATCAATCGCGCCCAACATTACAGTAAATATATTTACACATTCAACAGGAACCCTGGTCAAAATACAAGCAGATTGTGAAAAGCCTGCTGTTTGTGTACAACAGACACACGGTATACGGTTGTCGGTGTACACAATATCATTCCATGAGACCAGCATTTCTTTAAAAATAAATTCAAAACGTCATTTTACATCGACTGTTTCAACATATAGAGTAATATTTGTTGCCAGCCTGCGCAACAAAATCATATAATGTCAAATCGTGCATTACACCTCATCATTAACAATTGTTTGTGTACAATTTACCCTACGCCGCTGATGTGGACACACTCAATGTGTATTAGGCATGGGACAATAACCGGTTTTACCACGGTTTGGAAAAGTCAAGGTTTTGAAACCGCAAACATTTCTTTTGTACCGTTCATAAGGTATATGCAAGTTGTTATTATTTTTTAAATGTGTTTATGACTACTTCATTAGATTTTTTAAGGGCAACAGTATCTACAGCAAAAGGACCCTCCAAATGGAAAGCTACTGGTCAGTCCACGATTCAAGAAAAACGATGTGTTTCTGAAACTAATGAAGATAATCAGTGATCTATTTAAATGGTTTAGCCTGACATGTTTAAAATAACAAAAGCAAAAACCCTTTAAATGTTTCTTAAACTAAAGTATATCATGTTTAATGGGGGAAAGAGCTTATTTTAAAGCAGTAATCACAATACCATTAAACTGTTAAATTATGATATTTTTATCCAAGGTTATCATACATCAGAAACTTATACCAGCCCATGCCTAATGTGTATACCAGTTAATTACACCCAAAGACAAAAAAAGGCACAGAGTGAACATTAGAATGGACACACAGGGTAAAATAAGCAGTAATAAAACCTTGATAAGAACCGTAAGGTTGGTGACAGTCACTGTGGTAAATTTGGTGACTTGAACAGATAGAAATCTGCTGTTTATAGATGTAGACTTTTTTCTTTCACTAGAACATTATGGAAAACCAATAGTTTCAATAGATTTATAAATTCTCAGCATACTGTCAGGGCCTTTATAAATTGAGTTCCCTTGTATGTTTTTTATTCTTAAAGTTCAGAATCACAGTTTCAGCTTAAAAAACTAAATCAAATACTACTTTAATGTTTTCTTAAAGAGAGAGCGTGGTCCAAATCTAAAATAGGGGTCTCCAAACTCTGTACTGGTGTCCTGCAAAGTTTAGTTTCAACCCCAATCAGACACACCTGTGCTAGCTAATCAAGCTCTTACTTGGCTTTCTAGAAACATCCGTACAGGTGTGTTGAGGCAAGTTGGAGCTAAAATCTGCAGGACTCCGGCCCTACAAGACTGCGTTTGGGCACCCCTAATCTAGGATAACTTGACAAGCAAATTAAGAGCAAATTTACATTTTAGGGTGAACCTTTTAGTCGAATCAAAATCATACTGATTCATACTGATGCCTGATCAACTGACTATTTATAAATTATCAAACAGTCTTTTATAACTCTATGGATGATCCTACATATGAATTGTCCCTCAATTAGTTAAAATAAGCCCAATTTACACTTCAGCATCAAGTGATCATCGAAATCCTTGCAGGTAGCCGATGCCGTTGATATTTATATTTCTGCATTCTGTCTATGTTGCCTTGACAACTCTTACCTACTCAAGTTAGTTGGCAGTGGGGTTTTTATGTTGCACTGTGTCAAGTTTCTTTGCCGGTGTTTTGAGTTTGTGCCAAAAAAATCTCTGGGTTGTTATTGTAAAAGAAGTTAAAACTTTCACCAGCTTTAGTAATAAAATATACACAAAACAAATGCTGGAGCAGGCTTCAAGGCTCGTTTAAAAACTCGCACCACCGGCCTCGCACCCCTCTCACCAACGCAAAAAATAAAAATAAAAAATCACATATCTTGTGATCTGCGTCGCCACTACATGTTAGGGGTGCACAATATATCGGTCCTGCATCGATACCGCAATGTGCAAATCCGCAATAGTCACATGGCAGATTCTGCAATGTCAGTTCAGTTTATTCATCCATTAGGAAATTTGAGTGGAATTATGGTAAACCAGGAACCCCATTGTGAAGTTTAACCTAAATAAAGTGAAAGTTTTTAAGGCCTAAGAATGTGAAATTTCAAGTGTGCATAAAAAATTCTAACATTTTAACAGCAGCTACATTTCCATCCTAAGATGCTAATTAAATTTATGCGCAAAACTGGATTATCGCATAAAAGATGTGCGAATAAAGCAGCGTTACCATCCAACAAGTCAAAGAGAACAAAATAGTCACTTCCTGATTAACTGCCACCAAATATCAAAAGTAAAAACGGAATTTGCTGCGGTTGGCTATGCTGCGTAAATCTTTCTTTATTTTAAATAATGACTTACACCTCAGAAGACAATGCCGATATGTAATGAAAAAATGGTGGCATTTGAAGGCATGAGATGCGGAGCACAGATGCTCTTGACAATTCTGGAGGCAATCAATAATATAATATTTAATAATATTTAAATCATCTGGTGAAGTTGTATTCATATGGCAGGAAAACAAAACATCCCAATGTCAGTTTTGTCCAATATGGTGCAGCCCTGCTACATGTTACATAATTTGAGAGTTGCATGTCTACGCATAAGAATATGGCAAAAGGTATGCAACAGTGCAAAGGCTACTCCGGACCTACCATGCACACTTGAGGAAGAAGTATAAATTGGCCTTTAATATATGGTCAACACATTTTTGAATAAGATGTCCTTCATCTAATAAATAAACTGCAAACCAACACATCAATCAGACAATTAACTTTAAACAAGATGATTGATGGCCAAGCCGAATGCAGATTCAGGATTAGTATCTCTAGTTTAAGTCTGTGTATTAATTAGAGGCATCTGGGATCAGCTTTTCTGGTCTGGCTCTTACTGAAGTCAGATTGCTCAGTGAAGCATATTTTACCGTCCAGCTTAAGCATCTTTTGTAAAAACCCTTTAATCTTATTTTAAAGAGTACCATTATGCTGCAGGATAGAGAGAAGCAGAGGTTTTGGGGTCACAAGCTCAAAGCGTAAGGAACTGACCAATCAAAGACTTGAACGCTGATTATTCTGACGTGTGCTGACTGGGATAAAAAAATGCCAAATGGTTCATAAGAAGCAGGTTAAGAATCACAGTATTAGCTCATCTTCAAATAAATCAATTTCATATTCATGTATATACACACACACACATCACAGGTAAATAATCTTCAATCCAAGCAAACGCTGTTGTTATCTTTTTGAGAAACATCCAGAAACCAAAGCTATTCATCATATTTTCCACAGACCCTTCGAGTAAATCTTTGCCAGCAAAAAAGTAAAAAAAAAAAAAACAAAGTTAAAAAAAAAAAAAAAGTAAAACAATCGTCATAGATTAATGGTTCAAGTTGCCAGAAAATATTTCAAACTGGTTTAAAAAAACATTAACAAATAGCTTGAGAGTTTTTATCTAAAATGGGGTTGTATTAAATGTACATTTCATTTGAATGATTTGAATTTATCTCTGGAGAACACTTAATAGGCAACCAATTCAAGTGCCTTACATTAAAAAAGGGCCTTCTATCTTTAAAGAAAACAAAATGGGGAAAAATCATCATGCGTTGCATTATTTACAAAACAAGAGCAGACATATCACTTTCTGCATCTTGTTGAATAAAGTTTGTGTTAATGTTTGTTGAAGTTCTGCCAGCCGAATTGCATTATCCGTACAGCTGAGTTCCTCCTATTTGCTCCTTCACAAAATCCGCTAAAATGATGAATAAGAACAGAGACCGTCAAAATGTGCAGAGAAAGATCCCAGTTCAGTTTTACACAATAGACCCATCCTTGTTTTGGGCAGGGATCATGACTGGGATGGCCCCCATTCGGCTGAGGTTGGGGCCGGCCATTCTGCTGGGCGGGGGAATGGGAGCGTGGCTAGGGGGCCTGTCGTACTCTTCAGAGGGAATCTTGTCATACTGGGGCTTGCTGTACTCGTGCAGGTTGGAAGGAGACATGGAGCCAAGAGAAGAGCGTTGGCTGCCCACACTGGTGAAACTGCGGGCGGTGGAAACACGGCTCTTTGGAGGAGGCACATCCTCTCTGTTGAAAGGAGGGCAAAAGAATGTTCAATCACACCTGCAGGCCCAGGAGATTTATTGTGGTGTTTAAAAAACATAAAAGACTGTGACTTGTCACAAAAAGGCTAAATTATGACCGCAGAGGTATCATTTACAGAGTTTCTGCATGCTGGTTAGATCAGATAACTTTGTTGATCGCACTACATGATTTTGATTTAGCAGACAGAATTTCCTGAACTGGAATTAAATTTCAACAAACTTTTGAAAGCACCGTTCATGATGAAATGCAAAGTCAAAGATTGTTTTCCTGAAGAAAAAGGTTAGAAAGAGGCACTGGACAGGTCAAGCCAAACAAAAAATCTTCCTATGCAGCACAATCAAATAAGAGGGAGATACATTAATGCTACAATTCCCGTCAAGACTTGTTTTGGCGCTTCGACAATCACTGCTCAGATTGGCTGAATAAGACAATGGAGGGATTTCAAGTGTGGCCAATCAGACCATGCTCTCCCCCATCCTCTAAATTAACAAGTAATCAGCAGCAATAATCCATTGCAGCACCGAACAGCAAAAGAGAGAGAGACAGCAGGGTCTCTTCTAAGAGAAGCTGGCTTATTTGGATAATCCTCTTTTGTCATGGCCTAAGTGATGCAGCGCAAGGCTCCCAGACAGAGTGTCCAGCGCTGGGGTCCAGGGGGGAGCATAATAAAGGGCTTGACCCACAGCCTGCCACATCACACAGGAATGCCATTTCAATAGGCCGGGGGAGCGAGAGACAGGGACTGAGGGGGGAGCCATTGACAGAGCAGGAATCGACTGAACAAACAAATGCACAGAACTGATTACACCAGCCTTTCATTTGAAGAGAAAAGGGGTGAGAGGGGAAGGCTGACAGCACCGCTAGCCAGTTTCGCTGGCCATCAGCTTTGTTCGGTCATCAGTGAGTACAGGGGAGGGCTGCCATTGGATGAATAGAGGTGAATCATACAGACATAGGGACAGTGACATGTACCAAATGGCATCTGGGTCAAGAGCTCTCTTTCATTCTTATTCTTTGGTTATTAAACTGAATGCTGAAGCGCAGACTGAATGCCAGTTGGGAGAAGCAGGCGTTTTTCTAATTTAGTGTGTTTCTGGGTGAATTACAGTAACAGATGTTTCTCTCCTATTTTTATAAGATTAATTGTTGGAAAAGGTTTATGTAGACATGGTAACCGTCTGCTTAGGACACAAGATTGCAGCCAAGAGTGTGTGTGGTGTACCTGATCTCATAGGCGATTTCCTTCTCGTACTTCTTCTTGTGGCGAGCACGGCAGCAGCAGAAGAGGATGAGGGCGAGGAGAATGAGAAGCAGCAGAATGCAAATTATTACTCCTGCAATGATCCCAGCTGTATTAGGTGCTGCAAAAGGCCAGAAAGGGACACTTTTAAACCAAGAATATAACCATTAACACATTCACCAAATAAAGTAATCAGATATTAAAGGATAGATCCTGTAACTAAGTTTTAAACAGAATAGGACAGACTTGTAAAGACTCACGTTGCGTTATAGTGACCTCTACCACACACTCTTCTGTTCCAACGCGGTTTTTCGCCTGGCATCGATATGTCCCTGAAGCATCCCCGGTGGCATTCTTCAGAGTCATGGTGCCCGTGACTTTATCTGTGTGTAGCAGGTAGCATTGTTAATTTTAACTGTAGCACAACACAAAAGATGATTAATCAAAAGAAAAGAAAAATACAAGTGAAAAGATCTTACCCAGGATTGCCAATGGAGGCAATAGCTTATTGCCAGAGGTTCTCTCCCAGATGTACTCCATAGGTTGTGTGCCTTCCACAGAGCTACACTTCAACACCATATTCTTACCCACGTAAGTTTGACCCTCTGCACTACATTTGGGTTTAGAAGGACGTACTGAGGAAGGAAACATAAAAGGGGAGAAATTATTAAAAAGGGGAAAACATTTTGAATTTAAAGGCAAAACCCATCAATGTTTTCTAAATGTAAATATCTACAGAACACAGTGAGGTATATTAGTAACAGGTTGAACAAGCTTTTACTCCGATTGATGTTACAAAAAAAATAATATACTAGAGTATTGAAATAACTGGTTTAACACCTTCTGATGATACTGCTAAAAGACACAATTCTTAAATAAAGATGCATTTACTTGAGGTGATCAAAATGAAGCAAGTTTGATTAAACAAAACACATATCTGCCAATGAGCAAAGAAAAACTGATATCAAAGAGAAAGTCTTTGCATTGAGAATCTGCAAAGAGAATAGCCTTATATTTTGAAAGTGGAAATAAAAGACTTAAGAATAGATGTCCAGATCTCATCACGTGATTGGAAATCAAGCCCGATCAAACGGTTTCAGACTTGATCGGAATCGGACGTTACCTCCCGATCAGGACTCGAATATATGTATGCAGATGCGGAAAATTCGTTATTGGTTTAGTAATAGATCATAATCGATTATAATGTACTGATGTCATTTATCTCATTTGCGCCATGTCGCATAATTAAAATGCATAAACTCTGCACAATTCACTGCGTGTGTTTGCTGGACAGTCATTCACTTACACTAAAGTTACAGTAGAAGCCCCTAATGCACTCCCATGGAGAATATGAAAATAAACGCAATTTCTCCATCTCTCTCACTGTGGCCCATTTGACCTGCTCACGTGACGTTTCCTCTACTCTCGGCTGTTACAGGAACACTTGTAGATCAAGGCACGAGCGCATGTCTGCAGATTGAGTTTTCTCCACCGCGTCGATCATGGATCAGTTGTGATCACTGCTGCCGTTTATCAGTGTCACTCAACGGTGAACAGCATCAAGCGTAATAGCCAATCGCAGCACTTTTTGTTCAGCGCATGACCAATCATAGATGTTTAACAAGTTGCTTGACAACACACAAAAAGCAAGTGCTTGTATTAAAGGACTAAACTGTATTACAAATGCATATAAAATGTATTTTAAAATGATACATTTTAATACAGAAATTGCTGTGCTGTGAAGTAAAATATAAAATTGTGTATGGAAAGCATCGTCAAGTCACCATGATGCACCGAGATATCGAATTGAACCAAATCGATGGCATGATAATCGTAACTGAACCATGAGACCAATGTAGGTTCACTTCTCTAATATTTTCATTATATTCGTTATGCTGTTGCACAGAGTTAGACCTCTTTCCTGACTTCACACAGTAACAGCAACGTGTGCGGCATGACATCAATTTGTTGCAAAGACACTATTGGTTAAATGCCGGCAAAGTAGAACATGGAAGCAGCTTGAAGTGGAGAGCACAAGTATCTCTGCGCTCTGGAGGTATTATAAAGTTGATGACGATAACATTACCGTAGCAAACTGAGATATGTAAACATAAGTTTGCCTGCCGTGTATGTTAAGTTGAGGTGCTGTTTGTTTTTATAATAGATTTTTTATATTTACTGTTGCACTGACTAAAGTCCAAAAGTGATGAATTTGTCATTTATTACTTCACTGTTAACAAACAGAGCACTTCTGTGGGGTAGCTTGAACGGAGTTGTTGAATGTTAAAATAAGGTGAATTAAATAAGAAATAAGGAACATTGCAGATCCGTTTTTTTGCTCTTTATTCTTATTTTATGTATTAGAATTATTGGATCGAGTATCGGCATATACTCAAAGTCAAATAACTCAAATGACTCGAGGGCAAAAAAACCTGATCGGAACATCCCTACTTAAGACAGATTTTAATTTTAAAAACATTATATAAAAAGTTACTAACACCAACTACGTCATATATGATTTATAAACATGCATCAACTGTATTAAAAAAAAAAAAAAAAAAAAAAGTAGTAGAGTAAGAGAGTATATATGAGATCTATTAGTATGCATGAGACCACAGATTCAGCAATTATCTCAAGAAGAAAAATATCATCATTCCACTCAGACCAGCTTAAATATCATCTCCCGCATCACATATGGCGCATCACTGATGTAAAGGACGAGTCCCTGAGGCTCTTCTCACACTCCACCTATATTCATTCTCACCCCATCATAACTAATCACAGCAAAGGAAGCCACGATCAGCGTAATGGATACAGCTGCTGCTATTACAGGTGCTGTCAATCAACTTAATTAAAATCAGAGCACGGTGGGTGTCAACATTCTTGGTGATAAAAGAGGGAACAAAGAGGGCGGCAAAGTGGCTGGATATTGTGAAAGACAGACAGCATGTGTTTTCTGAACAGATATGCGTTAAAAACAGCAGGCTAGAGGTGAAAAAAGTGGGTGAAGTCTATGTATATAATGGAGGGAGGGATAGAGATGTGGAAAGATAGTGAAAGGTTGAATGGGGGGAGGATGGAGAACATAGGGAGCTCTGTGTAGAAACCAAAGCCTGCACAAATAGACCCCCTCCTCGCTTGGCAGGAGATGACATGAGAATTCAAAAGCAAACAAACCTCCAAATTAAAACCAGGAGGAGGCAGATACAGAGACTCAAGTGAGGAGGGCAAAGACACAGACGGAAAGAGATAGTTGGAAGACGAGACAGACAGAAGAATGTCAATAGTTGCTTTCTGTGAATCCTCCCAACCCTGGGCAGGGTGTTGGCGTTTGAGTCTCCATCGGCATTACTGTTTGATAATGGAAGCTGTAAAAACAGATCTCTGGGGCTGCTGGGACAGCGGCTTACAGACCTGAGGATTAACAGCAGGACTGAACAGCAATTTAATAGGATAAGGGGTCAGAGCACAGCAGCTTCCTCTGATGGAGAAATTGAATGTGTGTTGATGGACAGGTGGGAGGGGCAAAACAAGGTCTGGCCTGATGCCTGTGCTGAAACCAACACACACATTAATACTACAAATCTATTTCAGCTTCTTTGAGAGAGGCAATTCTTTATAGAACTTCCTATAAAGGTGCAGTTGCTTTATAGCTCAGTCGTGAGATCGACACAAGCGTGTCTGTAATTTTGAGGTGATCACACTTGACTGGTCATAACAAAGGCGACAAGAAAAACAAGAACGAAAAAGTCAAATTGCCCGATGCAACTCCAGACGCATAAAGGCGTGAAAAGAAAAAGGTCAAACATTTCTATTTTCTGCTTGCAGGAAGGGAAAGATTTACTTTTTCCACCTTGAACACAAGATACAGGGATCCAACTTTAAGCCAAATATGAAATTCCCTGTCTTTCTTTCACTAAAATGTTAAATTTCCATCTAATGATCTGAAAAACAAAACAAAGAACACTGCTGTGTTTATACAGTGCTTAGCATAAATAAGTACACCTCTCAAAAATCTCTTGCATATTTTTGATAGGAAGCGATATAATAACGGCCCAAAAACTAGTACACCCACATTTATGTTATAGAGAAATATTAAATGTATTTTTAGGTTGCCACTTTTCTTGCAATATTTAGCTTGAATTTAACTGTATTATCTTACTGTTTCTAAATATGTTTGAATACTAAAATATTATTTTAATAAATGTACCTGTTTGATAAATCTGTTTTGTTTAAATGCACTAATACATCGACTATATTTCGCTAAGAAACGGATAATGTTCATTTTTTAAAAGTGGGTGCACTCGATTATGCTGAGCACTGCATGTTAATAATATAATATTTAAATAATGTTAATATAAATAAAGAAATTAAATGGTTATTTGAACAACAAGAGATTATTTGCCTCAGATTTTTTAAAAAAATTATATTTGATAGCTTAATAGTAGTTTTACTACCTGTCCTTTTGAACCCAAAGCTCATAAATTGTGTATTATTCTGGCATGTTAGCCTTAGTTAACAGGTACAGTGTGGTGACTGCATTAGACTGAAGCGACTGCCAGTTAATATTAAAAGTATAAAAATCCCCTGACTTTCAACGTTTGGAATAGACCTTTTAAATTTCCATGATGCTCCAGAAATTCCATGACACACCTAAATGCCATGTCAGAACATACTCTAAATGTGTCTAACAAATGTTGAACTTCAGAAATAAAAACTGCATTGTAACCAGCCACTTTCAGATTACCCTAGTACATATAAAATGTATGTGTTAGGGAACAGACATAAAGTACTGAAATCATATTTAAACTAGGCATGGGACGACAACCGGTTTCAAGGTTTACTGCGGTTTGGAAAAGTCAGGATATTAATACTGCTAAAATGTTCTGTTACATCATTCCTAAGGTATAAGTAAAATTCTAAATGTTTTTTTTATGTGTTATAAAGAAAACTTTGTTTTTGAAACTGAGGACAGCAGAAGTAAATGATTTATTTGGTTATTTATTTAAGACTTATTTATTTTAGAGCAGTAATCAATAGCATAAAACCATGGTATTTTTATCCGAGGTTATACCATCAGAAACTTATTCTGGCCTATGCCTAAAATACACTAATACCTTTTGCTTTTAAATTTACAAATCAAGGGTACACGTTACACTACAAAATTTTTGTCAGTTGTGCCTAGAATCTGTTGAACATTAAATCCTCCACCACGGTCAGGATAATCATTTGAATAAGCGCCATGGGCTGTGAAACTTGCACACATTGTGCCTTTAAGCTACATGCTCGACACCAAACAAACAAACATTCATTAACATAAACCATCAACCCTTTCGAGAGCAAATTTGAATGCAAAGAACTTTATAAGTTGCTTTTGCCTGTTAAAGGCACTTTGTTTTTGCAATAGCTGTACATCTCAGAGGTGCCATGTAGCACTTATACAGCCCCTTCAAGTGAATGCCCTTGGACGGCTGTCTCTGACGGAGACGTGTTTAGTAAGGAACACACGCACGCAGCCAGACAGCATCTGCTCTGAATGCAGGTACAGAGTCCCCGCGGTCATCAGTGATAGGAAAGAGGGTGGACAATGAAGGGAGCAGAAGAAGCGAGAACAGCTGCATTCATCAACTGCTGCTAGCACAACCAATCTGTGTCCTTCCATCTGTCTTACTGTGGTCCACCTCTAATCACCGGGGCGGCTTTAGCCAAACACTTCTTCACTTTAATAAATGAATGGGATTTAAGTCCACTCAAGTCTTTTACTTAAATAATAACTGCCTCAGAGAGTGACACTAATCGCAAACAACAACATCTTTTCATTATTTGTCTTTTAGAAGATAGAAAATTCCAGCTGAAACTAAATATTGATTTCGAGGAATCATTGACAGAAACAGTGATGGTTAATTAGTGCTTCTTTAATGTCAGGGTGAATGCTAAGGTTCGGTTAACAAAATTAACTTTTAGTCTACGCAGTTGATATGCAAACAATAGAATGTGACTGTTTTCATACTTTTATTACGAAAAAAATATCAACTTTAATATTGTCTGTTTTATCTTGAAATTCCACTGATAAATGTTGTTTAAGAAGCATTTTTGTACATTGACAGATCACTGCCGCAGCAGCATGAGCCAAGTACACATGAACCAATCGTCTTACTGTTAGTGATTATAGCACAAACATGAACAATAAATCTGTCTTGAAGCTAAATACAGCCATCGTTTAAATGCTTATATCTTATATGATGAAAACATATCAGAGCTGAAATATAATTCTAGTCTTGTGCCACCTGAATGCTGATTATTCAATACATTTGATTAATTGAGGATGGAAATTATGTAATTAATTTAGACTGAAACAATTATAAAATATTCAAATAGTTACTGACCCTAAAGCTTGTTGGGGAAAAAGAATTGTACATATTTACAAGGAGATTGGTCCTTTCAGGGATTTAACTATTAAAAATATCTTCCTGTTTCCTCTATTTTACAGCTACTGGCATTTTTGGTTTGCATGAATGCAAATACACAGCTTGGTCATGTGGTTACTGAGTTTCGGGAAGTGACGCCACTGTTGTCATATTGTTTCTGATGGCCTTGTTTGGTGACAGTGTGTTAGCCTAGGGCGTTTCTCTGTCAGCAGTAGTCAACAACAAGAAACAGGTGATTTTTCACACACACGAAATAGCACTGATGTCACACTCGCTGTTGACAGCGATCAATGCAGACCCTGAAACAAGGCTCATCAGAGGACCCATGAAATCAAACTTTGTGCATTTACGGTGCAGATCAATACACAGTCACACAGGACATTCCCTTGTTTTATAGCTCAACTTTCAAAAGAAAAAAAAAACATGAGGATGAAGAGTGTTTTTCAAGAAAAACAATAGGTCAAGCATTTTTTCTAAACAGGGTTAGAGATTGGCTGTCAAAAAAAAGTATCGATTCAAAAAGTGTCTTTTATTTTTTAACTCACCCATAACGGTTAGCAGGTACTTCCTGCTAGCAATACCAGGAACCTTCTTGATCTTGCACTGATAAGTCCCAGTGTCTGTGGCTTTCAGGCCCATGATGTTCATGGAGGCATCACCATTTTTAGGATCAGGCGAGTTGAAGTGAACTCTCCCTTTAAGAGGATCATAGTAGTGTTCAAAGGCCCGGTCACCAGAATACACGATCACCTGCAAGTAGGAAAAAAAAACAACAACAACAAATGAGAATGAGGTGTTAGTAAATTAAACTAAATGTACAGGTATACTGATCAACATTTTAATAAACTGTGCATGTGTGTCAGTGAAAGACCAAGTTAAACTTCAGATCTAGACTAAAACCTAATTTTTCTGCTTCTGAAAGTCATTTAGGGAAAGGAAAACACTGTACACCCTTATTACAAAATGTCCTTCAGCACAAGTGAGATATTTGCCCTTTCAATGTTAAAACCTGAACAAAGTGTTCTTTTTAGGCCAAATCAACACCTTCTAAAACAAAGCAGAAGCATCAGCAGATCCGTTTTAAAAGAGGCATAGAATAATTCTTCATTAAAGGTGCAGTAGGTGATTGTCTTCAGAAGCATGTTTTGTTGTGCTGTTGAAGGTCTCTTCACAGTCTAATAGTAATGATTAAAGTAAATGATGTAAATGTGCTTATATATATTCTTTATGTTTTGGGTAGGAATTAAACAAAAAAATGTTCATCCAATTAAATAGAGTCGGGCCGACATCTCTCATAATTCCGATAAGTAGGCAAAACTGTCTGTCAGCAAATGCAGATTTGAACAACTGCACAGCCGTTTGTACGCATCTCCACTGACCGATGTTTGTGCTGCGCATTCACGAGAGAGGAAGAGAGAGCACGCGCGCGTGATCGGTAAAAACCTGCAGAATTAAAACTTTTTAAAAACCTGAATCAATATTGGATTTACCATTGCACGCTGGAGAAAGGATGACGATGTTGTTCAGCCACTAAAATCTTCCAATGAAAGATTGATAAGACTATTTTCAGTTTCATAAGGGACCTTTTACAGCATTGATGATATAGATTAATTAGTTTAACAACAAAACACAAGTAAACACCACTATTCCGCCTAGTCTCTACCTATATCGTTTACCAGGCAACTCTAAATATTTACTCTTGGCCATCAGACAAGCACTAGTCGCTTTTAACACATGAGAGGGGGATCTTTTGCTGTGCTTGTGTTTAAGGAGGCATGACTCTAGACGGCAGGGGAGGGACTATATTCAGAGATTTATGCCAAGCTGTAAGCATTGTGGAAGATCACTTAAGTCTCTAAAAGCTTCATCAGAAAAAGTGCAATGACAGGAATTTTGGCTAAAAGACGCACAAGGGCATAGGACAAACACAAAAAAAGATGCAAACAGATTCTTGTCAGCCATACAGAAACACATGATCCATTCAACAGTTCCTCTTCAGTTTCACGAGGATGGAGAGGTGATGACTTCCTGCACAGTCTTGCTTCATGCATAGCCATCCTGAGAAGCCCCTCAGGGCAAGGGCTCAAATACACTTATGAATGCATCAAACAATATTCAGCACATGGGGGATGAGAGCTAGGATTATGTGAAAGAGAAAAACAGAACTTCTCCTTTATTATTACATATAAACATCTGTAGAATCTAGGAGCATCTTGTTTAAATTATCACTCGGTATAGGCAGGACTACTCCATGCCACCTGGAGTCTGTACACAGGACTTCAAGAACACATCCAACAACATCTGTAAAACACTCCATGTCTGAATGTAATGACTAAAATATAATAAAAAAGGGATAAGGAAAACTGCCTGAAGCTGCATACATGCACTGCAACTGCAAAAGGCAAAGCAAAGTCTGCTTAGTCAAGACAGAAAACAAAAGAAAAAAGTCCTAAATTCTTGAACAAAGAATGAATTGATGCATCTTTCGTGTACCTTTATTATGACGTCTTTATCTTTATCACTTTAGCGAGATCAATCTATCAACTGTTAAAACACAAGTATGATCAAAACGATCTTCAACATCCAGTGGTGTAAAGCAACAAATTACAAAAACTCAAACTACTGTAATTGAGTAGCGTTTCTCAGGAATTGTAATTTACCAAGTAGTTTTACAAATACTTTGCTTTCCCGCGAGTACATTTTTAGTGCATTATCAGTACTAGTTATAGTGACTCCACTACATCAACCTGCAGTCACTATTATTTACTGTCCATGGGGATTAAAAAAAGAACAGTCCTGTGATTCCTGTCCAATTAAATCGCACATATAAGTAAAAGGGATGTCCAAAATTTTTACACGCATTGACCCAGAAGATGGATGTCGCTGATGAAAAAAAAAACGATGCAGGTTTACTGTATGATGATCGTAATAGCCTTAAACACCCGGCAAAAGTCAATATGACGTCAGATTGAAGTTGTACCCCAATGTCGTGGGGATGTTGTATATTGTTTGGAAATGAAAATCAGGTTGACCAACGTCCAACCTAAAAACAACTAAATATTAACATCTAATGATGTTACAGCTTGACGTGTGGACATTACCACTATGACGTCTATCAGACGTTGAATTATGGTTGTCATACCTGATGAATAAATGTCAGTATTCGACATCAATCTAATGTTAGTTTAAGATGTTGGCTCGGTGTTGGATTCTGGTTACTTTCTAACACAACCTAAAATCAATTAAATATCTTTTTAGAATTATAAAAATAAGTACTTTGATGTCGTTATTGGACATTAAAATAACATTGTCCTTAGACACTGGCTAGACATTGAATTTTGGTCACCTGACATCACAACCTAAATCTAACGGCTTATGCACTACAGAATGTTACAATTAGACACTTCCACAAATTACATGTAAATGCATCAGCTTTTTACAGCGTAATTCTCACTACTTTTCAGTACTTTTAAAAGGGATACTTTTTACTCGTACTTATGTAATAAGTACAACAGATGCTTTTACTCTACTTGCACTACATCTTTAGGTAATTAATGGTACTTTTAGTTAGATTTTTTTAGTACTCTTTCCACCACTGTCATTATTACCTATAAAGTGTGTAAATGATCATGCAGTGTACAATACATACATGTATGTTTATATTTACCCAACCTAATGGTCTGAATTACAGACTTCTCTGGATTTCTCTGGTGATGTTTGCTGCATTCTTTCAATCGTTAAGTACACTTACTCTTCTAATGTTGTTTGTTAAAAATACAAATTATATAAAATGGTGTAAACTTATATTTAAGACTGGGCTCAACTTAAATTATTAATTTCTGCAAAATATCTAGAATAAATAAATAAATAAATAATTAAATAAAAGCCATAAACCTAAACAAAAGATTTAAAGGTGCAGTAGGTGATCTGCAAAAATGCTAATCGGATAGCATATTAGGTTTGGACGATAGGGAGGGACTGTGTTTTAAAGCCACGCCTCTTGAAATTACGAGCGCGCCCACCACGACACAATAGCAGACAACCCAGTTCATTCACCAGTTAGAAATGTATGTAGTGGTTGGCCGGGCGGCGTGCAGGAATTTCACTTATTACTAAGCCACACTTACATGCTATTTTAGACTGAATATTCAGAGTAGCTGTAAACAATAGTGGGAGCGTGTCACTGTTTAGAAATGACCCAATATAAAAGCAACTACAGCTCAGAAAGCAGGCTTGGCGGAATAGTGCTACTTACTGATGTTTTGTTGTTAAACTGAATATAAAATCTACATCATCAATGCTGTAAAAGCTCCCATATGAAACTAAAAATAATTACATCTAGCTTCCACTGGGAGAATTCAGTGGCTGAACAACACGTCTGTGCATAGTACCCATTCATAACACAATACACTCTACATCAGCTCTGTGTAACTAATATAGCTTTAAAACATAACATTACCTCTCTAACAGAAATACTTCAGTCATGGTGTGGTGTCGTACCTCCTCCAGCGTGCAAAAGTAACTCCAATACTGATTCAGGAGTTTAAAAAGTTTCAATTCAGCATTTGATTTTGCCGCAACTGACAGTCTCGCGTGCCGGTGTCGCTCATCTAGACGTGCACACGCGGCAGGCATGCAATCGCTAATGGCGGATATGCGTGAACAGAGATGTGCAAAAGCCCAAATCTGCATTTGTTCACTGGTGGTTTTAGTTACTTATCGGGTTTATGAGAGATGTCTGTCCGACTCTATTTAATTGGATGAATATTTTTTAGTTTTATGCCTTACCCGGATTATAAAAATACATATAAATACATTTAAATCATTTATTTTAATCATTACTATTGGACTGTGAAGAGACTGTCTTCAGAAAGATTTTTTGTTGTGCTGGTTGAAAATCACCTACTGCACCCTTAATCTCATAATATGAGCTTTTAGTAGGATTTTGTTTGACACAGTACAAAACACAAACTCCAATGAAATGACAAAAATTCTATAAATGACGCATCTTTAAATGAACACTTTTTGACTGCAAAGAGTAGTCAGCCTTTATTTTAAGGACAATTCACTTTTACTTAAATATTTTTTTATAATTTTATTTATAACATTATTTATACTTACTTTACAGTATGACTGAACCTTTACAAATGTCAGTTTATAAAATAAACAAAAATCATTTAAAAATAAACGCTATTAACATTTTTTTCCTTTCTCAATATTCTTTTACACTCAATGTATAAATTACAGAAAACCGCAAAAAACCTGTTGCTACTTTTAGTTCACTACAAAGAAAAGGTCATAAAGGGTCACTGCTTTTTATGAGGCGAGTCTTCAAGGACACTATGTGACTTGTTAAAATGGAAGTGTGCATATGTTTTACTTGTGCGTCTTGTTTACACTTGAGGCTATGCGTGTATACCTGCAGGTTGGTGCACTTCCTCTAGGGCCACATCAAGCTTGTTTGTAATGCAAAGCAGCACTGAGTCACCTGCGCTGGAGATCAGTCTGCTTTATAACCCGGGCAGTTTCTGTTGGCCTGCCTGTCTGTATCAGTGTTTACGCTCACTGCACAACCACAGTCACGGCTTTGAACAACACTGTCTGCTACTGGGAACTAATTCAAGCACGACTACTACAGCCTTTACAACACAGACGCAGATCAATACAGAATGATATAGTACTGGAAGTACCATAAGACCCATTTAATTATCCTTAATGCACATTCCTGAACCAAAGAAGATTTATTTATC